TGGGGGAAGGAGCCAACGGGGTGGGGGAGGAGGACGCCGGGGGTGGGGGAAGGACGCGAAAGGTTAAGAATGGGGAGGAACGCGAGTGCTGCGAGAGTGAGCTGTCGGGGCGTCCGTCCATCCAGGAGTCTTAATCATACATTATCGTTTTTGAATTCTCTATGGGGAATCTTTTCTACGGATGAAACCAAATCATCCTCTGCAGGTATTGATATATGATAAAAATTTGTATCTGCGTTAGGGATGTCACGAACTGTCTAGAAAATTTCATATTTTTGTATATTTTGTGAAATTGTACTGATTTCGATAAAATTCTTATAGATTTTTAAGAAATTCCTGAGTTCTAAACATGTCACACGTCATCTTGGAAATTCACCTCTGAGTGAACAATATCCTTGTCTATATAACATTGTTAGACACAAACAACAAAGGTAGCAGGGGCTTTTAGTTCAATGCCGATAAATTTCTCATGGAGATGTCATTTGATTGGTCCTAAATTGACAGCTTGGAATGATATACTTCATCGCATTGCTAATCTCAGGCTCACTCAAAAACAAGATGTGTTTCACTGGAATTTGGACCTGAAAGGCCAATTCTCGGTGAAGTCACATTATTTGGCTTTGATCCATCAAGACGTTCTGAACTTAAATAAATTGATTTGGAAAACAAAGGCCCCAATGAACATTAAGATTTCTATGTGGTACCTTCAAAGAGGAGTTATCTTAACAAAAGACAACTTAGCAAAACGTAATTGGCAAGGCAATGTGAAGTGTTGCTTTTGTCATAAGAATGAGGCAATTAAGCACCTTTTCTTCGAATGTCGATTTACATGGGTAATTTGGGGTTACATACAAGTTGTGCTGAATCTCTCCCAGCCTCGTAGTATTCCTCATCTCTTTGGGAGTTGGCTTTGAGGTTTTCAATAGGATCTCAAACCTAGAATTATGTTGGATACAACGGCTGCTTGTTGGTCGATTTGGTTATGAAGAAATGATTTAGTTTTTGAGAAAAAACTTGTTTACTCTCCCTTGCATATAGTTTTTTCGGTAATCCATTGACTACGCACATGGGTTATCCTCCAAATGCCCTTTGCACGGTTTTTGGTGTTGAAGGCATCGCAACAACCGATGCAAGTGGCTACGGTGTTTTCCTCCGGACACATGGGTGACGGTCTAGTCTTAGAATTGATGGCCATTAGAGTGTCGGGCTTTCTTCTTTTTGGCTTTGTGTTTAGGCAGAAACCGGAAGTGAGTTTACTCTAACCGTATCTTTTCGATGTAACGACGATAAATTAATAAAATCCTCCATTTATAAAAAAAACTATCTGGCTATACCTAGAGTCAACAATATTACAACTTACAAAGATATAAAGATATCATAAATTGGCAGTGTATATATGTATGGAAAAAGAAGTGTTTTCTCAACCATATATCGTTGGATCCGCCCTGAGGCGCCATGCGAGCCGCAGCCGTGCAGAAAATGACGTGGCCTGCGCACCGGTGAGACTGGCAAAGGCAGGGTGCGCTCTCCCTGTCTACCTCTGACCTGTGGGCCATCTCGTCCCCACGCACTAACGCACCATTTCCTCTGACTCTACGGGCCTGTTTGGAACGAAGTATTTTCAAAGGAATTTCTAAGGATTGCCAAACCTGTATTTTGCTGACGTCACCTACCGTTTGGAATGAAGGAATGAAACTTCCCGTTCCTCTGGAAAGGTTTCCTTCGCTCATCAAAACGCAGGAATTTTTACATCCACTCTTGGCCAAAGTTTTCGCGGAAGACCGAGGCGCTTGCGTGCGCGCGCGCGCGCGAGAGAGAGCGCTCGCATGGAGCGCGGACGAGTGTTTGCCCGGCCGCATTCCTGTGGTGCCGTCCTGCTGCGTCGCTCCAGATCTTGCCGATGTTCGGCTCGCTCATACCGCTCCAGGCCTCGCCGGCACCGGGGCTGCCTGCACCGCTCCCGCTCGAACGCTTCACTGCGCCGCTCGTGCCCCGCTTGGCCGCTGCACCGCTTCGCCGTCCCTTGGCCTCACTAGCGCCTGGTCGCATCAGCTCGGAGCCTTGTTTTTAGGAAAGGATAAGGAGAGAGAAGGCTGCTGGATTTTTTATTTGGCTCCATCGTATTCATATGGTGGATAAGCAAGGACATGGACCTGTGGGCCCATGTGTAAGATAGTCATGAAAAAAATACGCAACTAAATTATTACTATCATTTAGCACTAATAATGACACTTATACTCACATATTTTATGATTCTCGTGTTATAAATTTCTATGTTTTAAATAACCTAAATTTTCTATTCCTATGTTTTGAAATTCTATAATTTTTCTCTTTTTATCGTACTTTATTTCTACGTTTTTTTACTAATCCTGCGTTTTGGATTCCTTCCCACACTGCACTCCCCCCGGCTGCTCCCGCAACCCCCACCGCCCACCAGCGACACACACACACACGGATAGAACGAGAGAGGCAGAGGCAGCCGCAGCAGCAACCCCGGAGCCTCGCCTCAGACCCACGGCCGCTTCCCCCGCCGGCGCTCGCTCGCTCGTCGGCGGCGGAGCGCCGGGGCCGGTAGGCCGGCCGGTCGCCCGCGCCCGCCCGTCCTTCGGAAGCGTCTCTGCAAGGGAGGACAACGCTGCTGACAGTGTGCGTAACCGCCCCCTCCCCCTCTCCAACCCGTGACTGATTGATGATTGATTCGTTTACCAGCAGCGATTTCCCACCAATTTCCTCCGCGTCGCGCGGGGGAGGTCGCATTGGATTAGCCGCGGCTCGGCTCGGCTCGGCTGCCGGGACTCGCTCCCACCGACCCCCCCGCGGCGTTTGTGCCGATTGGGGTGATCTAGGGTTTAGCGCTTCATCTGATTCGTGTCTCTGGGGTTCCGCCCCGTTTCTGGTGCGGCCTCCTGGTCCGATTTGAGGAGGGAGAGGATGGGGCCAAGTTAGCTGCTCCTCGTATGTGATGTGATGCCTGTGGGTGTGAGTGTGACTGTGTGAGTGAGGTGCATGTGGGGGGTTTTGCACGGTGAAGTGGCAGCAGGACAGTAGCAGCGCTGGTACCGTTGGAGTTGGTGGTAGGATGGGGATTTGGTGCTTGAGTAGTCCGAGCTAGCGCCACTGCAGCTCCCTATGCTACGCCGGTTTGTTGATCCCAAAGGTGTTGGTTAGTGTAGTGTTAGTATGAGCATTGACTGATTTGAGGTTTGACTGTCTGGTAGGGTTGTCGGTTCCCGCGTTGAGCCACCTGTCAAAGGTTCAACTCAGATGGAGATTGTGTGCCGCTGCTTTGTCTGGAGATATTGTGGTGCTTTAGGGCTGTGACGTTCAGATTCAGGGTCATGCCATTAATACTTCCGCAGACAGCCGCTGTTTGCAAGTTCATTGCTTGTAAACTTGGCGAATTCTCCTAATAGTGATTATGGACAGGCAAAAGCTTTCGTTGCCCTTTCGGGGAAGAAAACAAGTTTACCGGTTTCGCTTTGTTGGCGTTTGTTTAGTTAGCCTGCATGCCATTAGTCTGAGTGTACGCTTGCCATACGTGGCCGGTGCATGCATGAATTGCATTTGGAATGTTACCGCAGTCCATAAAGCCGGTTGCTGTTGCGATAGGATTTGCAAAAAGGTTCAACGCCTTTCGGTTACTCTTGTTTACTCAGCTTTGTCAGCTATGTCGTGGACATGGTGTGCAATCTACTTAGCCACGGGAATTCCTGGTGACCATTTGGAACAAAAACCCTTGTAGACATTGCATGATGTTTTACTGTCGGGACTTGGGAGTATGCATTACATGCATTTATTCATGCCTCCTGTCACGAAGTGTATGCAACTGATGTTAGGTACTAACATATTTTGCTGCTAAACTTTTATGACCATCCAGATTGAGGTCATGTTTCAGTTAATGGAGCTTTTAATGCAGTGCATATTAATTCCAAACATGTTTGGATAGTATTGTATGAGCATTGGCTGATTAGGCGATTGATTGTCTGGTAGGGTTATCAGGCCCCGTGTTGAACCATCTGTAAAAGGTTGAAAAGCGCATGGTGATTGTTTGCCATTGCTTCAGCTGGAGCGTTTTCTGTGCTTTAGACTTGTGAAAGATCAGGTTCAGACTCATGCCTATAATACTTCCTCAGACAGCCATTGTTCACAATTAATGGCTTTGTTAGCAGGTGTTTGGTTAACGTGCATGCCATTTGTCTGAGTGTACACTTGCCATACGTGGCTGGTGCATGCATGGATTGTGTTTGTCGTACTGTGTAAAACCAGTTGCTTTTGGGGTAGGTTGTAAGAAGCTTCAATGTCTTTTAGGGGAAGACACTACATTGGAATTCCTGGTGACCATTTGGAATAAGCCCTTGTAGATATTGCACGCTATTTTGCTCTTGTGGGGAGTACATGTTACATGCATTTGTTCATGCCTCCTGTCACAAAGAGTATACGACTGATGTTAGGGACTAGTATATTTTGCTGCAATTTTTTTGCGACAATCCAGATTGAGCTCATGTTTCAGTGAATAGAGTTCTCGATCCGGAGTCAATCCATAGCTCTCTTCTAATGTTTTGTAGTCATAACTCAATAATTAACATGATATAAATGTTTTCTCACTCACCCATCGAACTATATCATACCATACCCCTGGTGGTTGGTAGGTGGGCCTGTATCCATACACGTGTAGTTTCTTGTTTGTCCATATCCCAGTTTTGCTGTGGCCTTCTGTTCTCACAAATTTCCTTTTTTGAACTTGCTGCCATTGAGATAATGTGTTCTTTATTCCTTTGTGCATTTCATCTCTTCCCTGTTCCAGATGGGCAGATTGCTATGGAGCTCTCTGCAAAAAAAAAAAAAAAAGATTGCTATGGAGCTATAAACTTGCAACAAGACAATCTAGCTAGGTTTTTGTTTGGCAAATTTTTTTGGTCGTTGATTTTGTTCCTTGCATTTTGCAGGTGATCCACTGATCCCATAGCTGCCCTATTTTCCGGCTGCAAGCAGATGCTATAATGGACAACCTTGGGCATAGAGAAAATGGCAGGCAAAGGCCTGACCAATATAAAGCGGTTCATACTCAGGTTTGTGTAATTCGTCATCTAGAATTCTTGTGCAGCATTTCATATTTACACTTGTTACTTCGACATATGAAAGACAGACTAAGCGTGACCTAGGACATCTGTTCAACTGTTATCACCACTGGATGTTTTGGTGCATTGAACCTTGATTTTTAAGGATGTGTGTCCCAAACATTTCTATGAACATCCAAAAAGCTTAAATGCCTTTTCTGCGCTAAAAGCATACGATTCCAGCTTTATTTGATAGCTTAAAGTCTGATTATACTAAAGCGGAGAAAGATAAAGACTAGTCTACTAGCTGTTCATCTTTACTGTTCATTTTTTTATAGAAAAGTCAAAGTATATATTAAAAAAGGTCTACAGAAATATATAACTGAACTGCTCATAGGCTACAATTTCTACATGGGGAAGGTTCTTATGATGGTGCATCTTTATTGCTTTCATTGCTCTTTCTGTACAGCTAGTTATAGGCTCATAGTTCTTATGAGTATGAGGTTGCATCTGGGCCAATGTATCCAATCAGTTCTGCCATTTCTGTGTTGATCATATCTGCTATATTGTTTGCAACTTACTGTTAATGTGTCAAAACACATTTGCTGTTCCTCATTTTGGAATGAATTATTAGAGACGCAACCATGCAACTACCTGTACCTTAATATTGCTGGAGCCTGGAGGGAAGTCTGAACTTACAAACACCTCTCTCATTCATTTTCTCTCAGTCATCTAGATTAGACTTGTCTAGTAGTAACTTCTTTCTGCCAGTCATGTATCATACTTCAGTGCCTTTGGCTTCTCTCGTTGGGAGTGCCTTTATCATGAGCCCTGTTTATTGTATCAACGAGTACTCAACCTCGATAGTGTAAATTTTGTATAATCTAAATTTTGAAGTTATTCTGTGACAAGCAATATTACTGTTTTTTACTGTTATAAAATATTTTGTTTCTTGTGCTATATAACTTTATAGCAAGCGGTAGGGCTATATTTGCAGTGTGGAAATTTGTGTTAAATTTCAGCATAGATGACTATTGGTAACCTGCTAGCTATTTTTGTTTAATGCAAGCATATTTTTCCTGAAGACAATGGACTTATAATTTATTTTCTGTGTTTCAGTGGATGATGCCTCAAAGGCAGCTAAAAGACCATCATAGTATGAATCTCCTGGCACTGATGAATGAGAAGGACAGTGCCATCCGAGAAAGAGACCATGCTCTCGCTGAGAAGAAAGTTGCTATAGCTGAGCAAGATATGGCATTCGCTCAGCGGGATGCTGCGATGGCTGAGCGGAATGCTGCAATTGTGGAGAGGGACAATGCCCTTGCTGCACTTGAACTCGCCCGTACAAATGGGTTTAATATGAATAATGGGAATGGATTTCACCAAGGACCTCCTCTCAATGGAACAAAGAACATCCACCACCATGACCAGCTATCTCATGTCCAAACATCCCCACTGCAGCTGGCCGATTCTCCATATGGCCATGTCAGGGAGATGCACATATCAGAAGCATACCCTATCGCAACAGCTCCTGGAAGCATCGGGAAGGCTAAGAAGCCAAGGAAGAGTAATTCTCAAGCTTCTCCATTGAAGAGGCCATCAGGTGTACTCCGCAAAACCAAGAAAGCAACCGGTGATTGGAAGAATGGGGGGATGACTGGTGTAGCAGGAGATTCAGCCCGTGCTTCTGTGATGAAGAATGAGTGGAAGGACCAAGACCTTGGCCTGAACCAGGTCGTGTTCGACGAGTCAACCATGCCCGCACCTGCCTGCTCATGCACAGGGGAGCTCCATCAGTGCTACAAATGGGGCAATGGTGGGTGGCAGTCATCTTGCTGCACCACAAACATGTCCATGTACCCGCTCCCAGTGATGCCCAACAGGCGCCACGCTCGCATGGGGGGAAGGAAGATGAGCGGCGGTGCGTTTACAAAGCTGCTCAGCCGACTGGCAGCAGGAGGCCATGATCTCTCGGTTCCGGTGGACCTCAAGGACCACTGGGCCAAGCATGGCACAAACAGGTACATCACCATCCGGTAGCCCCCGGCGGCCACCGCAGCTGTATCCGCCATTCAAGCTGGAAGGGGGAGATCACCCAAACGTTGCTTCTCCTGCATCCCCTAAAGCCTCACTTGTTCCATGTTCTGTAGTGTCATTGGTTTTTGGTGGATGGAGGTAGAGTTTTGCGTTCAGGAAATCACAGCACTGTAGGTTTTTCCCTCTTTTTGCTGGACTGGTAAACTGTGCTCGCGAAGCTGGAATGCTGCAGTCCGCGAGAATTGAAGTGTAATTGTAGCTCTCAAGAATTCGTCGTGGGATATCTGTACAGTTTGACATCTGGAATCGAGTGGTGGTAGTGGAAGGTTACTATATATAGTTAGCTTCAGGATCGTGGCCGTCGTTAATCTGCTGTCGTTCCAGACAGGCACATTTTTTTTGATGCCTCTGCTGAATTATTTGCAGAACGGTAGTCTTGAGGATACAACCTATGCAAGCGGTATCCAGAACCAGAACTCCAGGAGTGAGAACAATCAAGACCAGCGCAAACTGCTGAACACCGGCACGTTTGCAATCACATATTGGCATTCAGGTAGGTCAGATCAATGCTCAGAAGCCAGAGCTCAGAAGCAAAACCAAGGCACTATCCGTCCCCAAAGAAATGTTATTCTCGTTTCTTTAAAAGTCAGACAATTTGAAATTTAATCAAATCTAGAAAATTATTATATTGTCGGATTAATTATGAAATATATTTTTATAATAAACATAATTAGAGACATAAATGTTAATACTATTTTCTATATACTTGATCCAAACTAAACAAAATTTGATTTATTTCAAACTAAGAATTACATTTCTTTTTAGATGGAGGGAGCACTAGGATTAACTCCGTTTAGACTCTTGGGCCTCAACTTTGGCTTCTCATGCAAAAGCCCTGCCAAACATGCTAGCTCGTAAAACGCCTCTGCAAGAGAAGTTGTAGAGGGAAGAAGCTATTTTTTATATTAGAAGGGTGAAGCCACTTAAATGTTGCTTCTCTGGCTAATTAGGTGAAGCCGTTTGAAAAAAAAAACTTGACGGCACTTTTGGTTAGAAGGTAATTGAAAGAAGGGATCAATTCTACTGAGGAGGGATGTAACAAAGATAGATATATCCATCATGACTCGTATAAGTTTCTATCTACACCAGACAGAATATAAATTCTTTCCAGTAACTTTCGCTCCACAAACCAAACAAAGGACTGGGACAAGTCAAATTTCTACCTTTAACTCCCTCCATCCACATGGCCGGTTAAGATTTTGATGATTCAGAAGCAAAAAAACAGGCAAAACAAAGGTAGCCAAAAGGTTACATGTCACAGCATCAGTCAGTACCAGCTACAGATTGATGTTTCAAAATCGAAGTGTCCTCGCGAAATTCCTCATCCGGATTTCACAAGGCAGTTACATGCCGTTGCGGCATTTGCAGCGGAAAGCAATGTTGATGACAACCAACCAGTTCAGGCAGGTCTAACCATGAACAGATACTAGTGGATGAGCCAGTCAGCCAGCCCAGGAGCAAGTGTGGGGCAAAGCAAGGCAGTAGTAATTCAGTTCAGAGGGCGAGCGGGTTGGCGTGGATGGTGACGCGGTTGAGCCTGATCTCGGCGAGCGGCCTGTCCCCGGGGCCGGTCTGCGCCTTCTCCATGAGGTCGAGCACCTCGAACCCGTGGATGACCTTGGCGAAGATGGTGTAGTGGCCGTTGAGGTGCGGCTGCTTGGCGTAGGCGATGAAGAACTGGCTGCCGTTGGTGTTGGGCCCGCTGTTGGCCATCGACATGATCCCCCTCGCGTTGTGCTGCCCACCAAACCAATTTCAGTTTTCAGTATTCAGTAAGCGAGGGCGAGGGCGAGTTCGTCGTCAGAGGATAAAATCAATCGAGAAACCAAGCAAGCAATCGAGAAACCAACCAAACCACTAACCTTGAGGGACTCCCTGAACTCGTCGGCGAACTTGGTACCCCAGATGGAGGTGCCGCCCTTGCCGGTGCCGGTGGGGTCGCCGCCCTGGATCATGAAGCCCTTGATGTTGCGGTGGAAGACGGTGCCGTCGTAGTAGCCGCTGGCGCAGAGGGCCAGGAAGTTCTCCGCCGTGCGGGGCACCTGGTCGCAGAACACCTCGCACTTGATGTCGCCCAGGTTCGTGTGCAGCGTCACCGACTGCCACAGCGACAGCCATCCGTCCGTCGAATCAGGGAGTCAGAACGGAATAGGATAGCATACAGATCGAGCTGAAGAGCGAGGGGACGGGAGAGAAGGCTCACCATGGCGCAGCGCGGAGCGTGGGAGGAGGCGCGGAGAAGGCCGGTGAGGGGGAGGCGGCGAGCCGGCGAGGCAGGGCGACGGGTGAAATTGTGGTTTGTGCTGTGCTCGGGCCGGCGAAGGCGACGAATCTGGTGGAGTCTGGAAGAAGGCGACGTGGGCCGTGTTGGGCTCATGGGTTGTTGGGTCACACTATGTATGGGCCGGCTGGAATTCCTTTGCTTCCCAGTCCAGCCGCCTCGAGGTCAAAGCGTCAAACGCTGGCTGTTCAAGAAGGGGGCTCCCACGGGCGCTCCGTCGGCGCTGCCAGTCGCAGAAGCTCCCGGGCCAGCGTTGCGCAGCGCCGCAGCGGGATGGCGGGCAAGCAGGAGGTGCATGTTCTTCGTGGTTTATTCCTCCGCACTGACCTATGGCTATACTGGAGAGAGCGGAGCACAGAGTGGCGGTCTTGTTGCTCTGTAAATGAGGCACCATAGCTCATGGTCGCAACGTGTTCGACAAAATGCTCATTACCTGTTTCCAAGTGGCATGACATGAGCCAGAGGCAGCCATGGGCCTCGAACGAAAGTATATGAAGTGTTGCATATTTGCAGGCAAACGATAGGCACCAGACATCATTGCATCAACAACAACATTAACATGATTTTTGGGTGGCAAACGGCATTGCCAGGCACGTGCTTCTGGCTTGCAGTTGTGAAGGAGCCGGGCGAGCGAAGGGAGGCTTGTTCCTCAAGGCAACATCATCGTATGAGGATGTTCCCACAGTTGCCAGGCGCAGAGCAGCAGGTAGCTGTGGAAAGTGGAATTGTAGTTCGGGCACCCATGGCTGCCGCGGCACCTTCAATTGCCGCCCCACTGTTACATCAGCCGTGCTTGGTGCTCCCATTGGCCGTCCACTGTGTGGCAAAAGGGCATCAAGAATCAGGTGGGCAGGGCACAGAGCCAACATTTCTTTAGCCTCTTAGGAAAGCAAAGAATTTGTACTTTCCTTCAGCATGCACCTTCCAGATTGAGTGCCCATCAAATCTGCTGAATGACCCCTTGCACCACTGTACTATGTTGTAAGCAGACTTGCCCCATTCTCCATCCATCTTATTCTCTAGCATGGACTAACTAGTTTGGAGAAGCCATAGACAGAGCACGAGTCATGGGGATCAAGAACTCCACCACAACTCTTGTCCAGAGCTGGGGCAGCACTCAAGGCCGTCTGGTGCGCGTGGAAGTTCTCGTCCTCTTCAGCACCTTCATTTGGATCCTTGTCAAGTTGTTTGGCTCAGAGAGGCGGCGGTATAGCCATGCATTCTTCCGCTTCTTCGTGTGGGCGGTGTACACTCTCTTCACCGTGCTGGGCCCTTTCACCATCGGATTGTTGCAGGATGGTCCCTTCCGTGACCAGACATTCGTCCTTTGGGCGACCATCCTCCTCCTCATCCAAGTGAGTGCTGACTCCCTCTCAGTCTACAGCATCCATGACATTGAGCAGAGGAAGAGGGTGCTTGTGCAGCACGTAGTACAGATCATTCTCGTGCTATGGCTGATTCTGAACTGCAAAGGTCGAAACAAAAGCTACGCTGCAACCATCTGGATAATCTGGATTCAGAGCATCATTCTGGCATACATGAATGCTGGGACTCTAAGCAACGCAAGCAAGAAAGGAGGTTTGCTGAAGCAGTCTAAAGTGGTTGCTGGCTACATGATGATTGAGCATGAGCAAATAGCTCAGGGCCACGTCACTCCGATTCCTAAAACCATGCAGGGGTATAGGTACATATTCCACGACGAAGAAGAAATAGCTTCCCTGCTTCCCACAGCACCTGAATATAGAGTTGTATTAGATGATATGGCCGGAAAATGCACCACCATTGATTCCGTGTGGCAATGGATCGAGAGCCAGAGTGGTTATACCATTGAAGCTATGGACATATTGAAGGACTTCACACTTTCTTTCACATTGTTTAAATTGTTGAAGCGAAGATTGTGTGGATACCGTATTGGTGAAGCTGGCCTCACCAAGACATTACATTTCGTGCTTCACGGGCTCATCTCTGAAGAAGGTAACTATGGTCGTGCTTTTGGAGTTGTAGAGATGGAGTTGGCATTCCTATATGATTTCCTCTATACAAGGTTCAGTATCAAGATTCCTTATATTATTATAAGGTCTGGACAGTCATTTTTTTCCTAATAAATGTTACTGTTTGGAATTGTATCTCTGGAGCATTTAGCAGGCACTATCATCATAGTAATTTGGAACAGAGAATTCATAAAACCGATGTTAATCACTGGGTAACCATTGTGCTGCTTACCATTGTGCTACTGTTGTCCTTCTTATACGGCTCTGACAGTAGGTGGATCATTCTGGACGAACTCCACAGTAAAACTAGGACTAGGGCATCTGGTATTATATTGTAAAACATGCCACAGAAAGGTCCTGGCAGAGAGCGCTTGGACAGTACTCACTGTTACTCAACTTTGACTACCACCCGTGGAATTTGCTACCTCTGCTGTCATTGGGTTTGGTCGACGCAACAAGAGAGAGACAGAAAGCTGGGGAAAAGATCAGGTTGAGAAAATCAGTCATCATACGCGTGCTTTCTGGGTTCAAAGAGAGCAACGGACAGTTACAAGATGGGCAATCGGCTCTAGCCAGAAATCAGCTGGGAAGCCAGTTCTCATGGGCCTGCACCCTGCCTACACACATCCACAAAATTCTCGTATGGCACATTGGCACAATCATTGCAGGATCCCCTCACCGATCATGACCACCATGTCGCCAAGACCCTATCGGACTACTGCGCCTATCTGGTAGCTTTTGTTCCGGACATGCTGCCTGGCCATGGCTATGACACCCAATGCATCTTCGACGCCATGGTCATGGAAGCTCAGGGAAGCCTCACTGGTTGTGATTCTTTGAGCAGCAGGTGCAAGAAGCTGACAATGATGGTTCTACCAAACAACAGCAGCTGCAACATCCTGGAGTTGGGGCCAGGCTTGGTAGAGAGCTCAGAGGCGTGGTTCCAGAGGCGTGGAGATGGAAGGTGCTGGCTGACTTCTGGGCCGACTTCATACTCTTCCTCGCGCCGTCAAGCAATGCTGACATCCACACCGAGAAGCTCGCCGCTGGCGGGGAGTTCATGACCCACCTCTGGGCATTGCTCACACATGCCGGCATTCTGGAGCGCCCCTCTAATGCCGACGGCGTGGGAGGTAATCATGGTAACCCTGCACATGATTCTCCTGTTTGAGTAATCAGAGCATTCTGGTCTGAAGGATATTGCTTCGGCCTCTGCTGGAGTAACTGATCTATTATGAATGTTTGTTCGTCAGATTTGAAGTTCATTTGGGTACAGGGTGAATCTTGTTTTCACATGCCCTAGTGTAACATAGCAGCGTGCCTTTTTCTTCTGCTTTTTTTCTTTTCTTTTCTTTCTTTCTTTCTTTTGTTGCGGAAAGCAGGGTGCTATTTGTGTAAGAAAATAAAGCAATTGTTGTTGTCTGATGTACTTTTATATGTGGCTCCTCAGCCGAAGATGGATTCCCCAATTCGTTGTCATGAATTGTTGTTACTGATAATTGCCTGCACAAGGGTTTGTGGTGGTTTACAGCAGTTGCACAAAGACCTTGTTTTACTACAACTGTTGCACAAATACCTGATTACAGAGTTTTGGTTGACGTCTGGAGGCCTGAGGATGCAGTCCTCATTGCCAAGAGTTGAATGTATGTCAGCACATCTGCTAGTAGTAGGTTAAGAATCAGGTATTTTGCCTAGACAACTATCTGTATGTTCTGAGCAGTGCTGCTCTTTTAAATCAAGCTGCTGGCGAAGGATTTGGGGACTACCACAATTAGATCATGGTATGCATCCGGGGCTCCCTTGAACTCTTCAAAAAAGACCTGTCTATACAAAACTTGGGTGGTCTTGATCACCCGAATGATTTGGAGGGCCAAATCACTCAGATTTCTTAATGCCACAGATTCTTGTGATACAGTAATTGCTACAAGACAAGTAGATTTTAAACAAATATACAATAAATTAAAAAGAAAATTTTAAACAAAAATATAACAGATTTACTATATAGAAACTACACCAAAATACATTGTAAATTTAATATAAGTACAGTGTAGATCTAGTATAAATTCATAATAACTACAATTTGCATGTCTATATAGATCTCGGATGATTTAGAGGATCAAATCACTTATGGGGCGTTTAGATCCCTTCATTTTGGAGGAAATTGGAATCTACTTAATGCATTAGGCTATTTGGTTTGGAATTTGAGATTCCACAATTTTTCAAAGTTTACGTATAAGCCTATCTCAAATTCATGGAGTGGGAGATGAAAATAGATTCTATAGATCACCATGCTATGTTTCTACTTTACAACTTATAGCACGCTCTTTAACTCCCCTCTCTATAGCAGAAATGCAACATATAAGCACATCTCTTGCATGGTTAACAATAGTATACAAATATATTTCATATACAATCATCTTAAGCTTAATTAATATGTGCCTAAATTATAATATATTAAAATGAATTCAATTCAAGGATCCAAACGGGGCCTTAGATTTCTTAATGACACAAATTCATGTGATACAACCGAATATCCGAGTTAGGAAAGAAGGCCACGTGCAGTCTTTGGATTGGACAGAAATTTTCAAGCGAGGGAAATGCTTAAATCACACAAATGAGCTTTAGCTTTCCTGTAAGAAAATGTCTGTCGATAAATAGTCAATACACATCAAATTTCAAGGTCGAATATCTGTCAGAAAACATATGCTAAGGATGACATTATGAGAGTCCAACAAAGAGGGATGAGTCTTCTCTGCAGTACTGTGGAGGATCTGCTTGAAATCTTCGTGTTAGAGGGGAGCTAAGCTACCAAACGGGAGCTAAAGCTTCTACAGTACCTAGTTATGCTTCACAGTGGGCCCTGTATGTACGCTATAATTTTTCATTTTGTTTTGTTAATGTCTCATTTCATCATCTCAGAAAGACATTTCTTTTGTTTCCTCCCCAGTTACTAAGCACAAAATCATTTTGACAAAATGACATTAGGATGGCAGGGGCGTTTTTTGTCAACCTGCAAGCAAACTACAGGGAAATGATGCAAAACAAGATGACTACATGTTCACTCCACAACCACAGTAGATGTCTCCCCCACAGAAATTCTTCTCATTTCTCCGACCCTCCAATGACAGACTTCTTCTGTTCAAATGAACCCCCCCCCCCCCAAAAAAAAAAAAAAAAATTACTTTCAGTGACAACGGATGAACAGCGTCCAAAACCCTGGCACATGCAGGAACCATTGCTTTACAAAACCTGAACACTGAAGTTTATGTATGTAAAAAAAGAAGAAAAAAAAAAAAAAAAAAAAAAAAAAGGAAAGGAGAACATGGTCGGATCTGGATGAAAAGATCAGCTCAGCACATCAGCCTCATCACCAGACGGGCAATTCGTCTTCTGAATCACCAACAGTGCTATAAAGGAAGCAAGTGAGACCAACAAGATATAACCATCCAGAGTGCTGCGGCATCATGGCTCATAAGAAACAGCAGACAGCTGACCAGCATGAACAACTTTCCCAAATCCAATTCATCCTTCCACCAGCCCAGGGGCTTCCAGCAATTGTTGGTTGTTGCGCAGCAGTAGCAAGAAGCCGCTGAATATCTATGATCTAAAATAAATGGATTATCCAACTTTTTCCTGAGTGCACCTGCAATCCACTGTGCAGCACCTGGCGAGATATGGTTATTTCAATACCGCAGGGGTTCGGGAAAACTACTCTAGTGTTTCAACGGTTTGATCTGTGGCTCTCTGTGACCCTCCTCAGCCTTTCCACCAATACAGGAATGTCCTCCTCACTCAATGCTGTGAAGCAACACCTGAACCATCCAGGTTCAATGCAATGGCAAGAAGAACCTGGGGTGGCATTGACCTTTGCCTCCTCCAACAGCCTGTCCCAGAGCTTGCGCTCTCCTTTCTCACTGTAAGATCGGATGTACCTGCTCATGTCTGCCCAGCAATAGAATCCGCCGCTGCTCTTGAAGCATTCGATCCCAACTTGTTTCAAAGCATCGGCAAACACAAGGTACATTTTCCGGAGCCTCTCTCTGTTAACCTTTATGTATTCTGAAATGAACTTTTCATCTGAAAGCATGGAAACAAGCAAACGTTGTGTTGGACTTGAGACAGATGAAAATCGAGCAATCTTAGCAGCAGCTGACACAATGTGTTCATTGTAGGAATATATCACTCCAACTCGAAACCCAGCAAGAGAAAGGTCTTTTGAGAGCCCATATATGATATGAACCCTGCCTTTATCAAAGTCCTCTAGTTCATCCACAATGTCTGCCACGCTGACAAACTTGTCACTTCCATATGTTGAACCAGCAAATATTTCATCAGAAATTAAGTGTATGTTCTTCTCTGCAGCAAACACTAGAAGGTCATGCAGTGTTTCCCTTGGCACAATGCCTCCTGTTGGGTTGGAAGGGTTAGATATGAGAACCCCACGAACTCTTACTCCTCGCTTTTTTGCCTGTTTGTAAGCTATTTCAAGAGCAGTGATACTGATGTTAAAGTTATCAGTGCTACGACAAGGAACAGGTATCAACTCAATGCCAGTTCGCCATTTTATGTCCCTATCCCAACTGCAGAAACAAAATGATGAAGTCAGTTCGTCACTTTAAAATCAAAATTCATGCATAGAATGTATCAACAGAGCAAGAGAGACAAAATTACCCCGGGTAGTAAGGTGATGGCACAAGAAATGCATTTCCTGGATCAGCAATACAGAAACTCAGTATTTCCACTGCAGGAGTTGCCCCAGATGTAATCACCATTTGAGATGGATCAAAGGATACTGATCCATGCATGATTTGCCTCATGAATCCAGCAAGAGCCTGAAAGAGAAACTGAGTTCATATTTGGAAATTACCACACCATAAGAAAATACAAATTGGCATTCATGAAAGTTGAGCACTAAACTGCACATGTACTGGTTCCAGTTTTCCATGAAGCGTTCAGAGAACAGGTCAATTAGTTCCCTGAAGGATCCAACTGGAATTAAGTTCACTAGATAACAATGATAAAAAATGGAAAATAAGCTAAAAGGGAAATATAAATGGTTCCAAATACAGTAAGCGGAATCATATTGACCAGCTTCAGTTGGGAAGTAGGTGTTTTAGCAGCATAGCACTCAGCATTAGACAATTTCATATGAAGCAGAATTATACAACGTAAAATCTCATGTCAAATTTAAAAATATTAACAGCAGTGGAAGCCACAGAACATGTAACTAGGACGTTTCAAATATTCGCAGCTATAGGAACTAGCTCATCAAAACGAAAAGGTCTACTAAAGGAGATTCAAGATTTGACAACTGGTGCAATTCCAGCCACCGTGGATCCATATGCCTAGAATGGTGACCCTTTGTCGTGTCTGCTTCAGATAACACATATATGGCTAGGAAAAATCAGGAGGACGAAGAAACAAACAAAATTACACGATATTATGAGAGTTGAGTAAAATAATACCCCACCTCGGGTTTAGATGCTGACTTCAGTTGTTTGATTTTTCAGCAATTCGATTATTAACCGATACTATTATCTGATGGAAATATCTGTGCCTAGGATAATCTGCTAAATGAACACAGTAGCCTAGAAAGTGCCAATACTACAGACACTGCTTGCAAAAGAGGAAAGAAACAATCCATCATGCTACTCCACAGGATGAATGAAGCAGTATGGCATCGTAAGTTGCTAAGAAGATCGGCAGTTTTTTTTCATGGTCGATGGAACCGAGGCGCCGGCAGCACAGCACAGCAATATTTTACCTCACAACACACATGGAATGCTTGTATGTTGCAGATATAATAAAATCACAGAATAGGGGATGGATGCTTTTTATGGACGGAGGAACACACAAAAAAAAAAAAGGAAAGGTGAATCAGAGCAGAATCTGTTAGCCTACCATCTTCAAGGCAAGTATCCCGTCATGGGGCTGGTAGGTTGCGAGCCCCCTGATGGTGAGGTCCCTGACCTCCTCCCCGGCTCCCGCGAGGCCGTCCAGCATCGCCGCCCCCGCGTGCTCCTCCATCCACCGTCCCACCAAATCCAGCGATAGCTGCACGCGCGCGCGCGCACGGGGTCAGGTCATCCATGCATCCATCAGTACCTCTGTACAGATTCTCCGAAGGAAGGAAGGAAGGAAGGAGAAAAAACAAATGGAAGCGGATAATAGCAAATATCATGAGGGATCCGTACGTGGTTTTCGGCGAGGCCGAGGTTGATGACGCCGCCGGGGTTGGACGCGGGGTGGTACGGGTCATCGGCGCACCGGCGGAGGCCGGCGTAGTAGAGGGAGTCCTCGTCGCCGGCCCGCACGACGGCGCCGCGCGCGGAGAGCGACGGCGTGAGGAGGCCCCGCGAGTGGCAGCGGTGGATCGGGGGGGCGCTGGAGGCCGGCGCGGGGGCGGGGCGGTTGCGCTTGATGTAGAGCTGGAAGAAGTAGAAGAGCGCGCAGGGGATGAGGGAGCCGAGCACCAGGCCGCCCCGGCCCTGCACCACCCCCTGCAGCGGCACGACGATGCGCATCCCGCCGTCGGCGCGCGGCCGCCGGTCGCGTGACGGCGACGGCGGCGGCGGCTTCCTCTCGTCGTCGTCGCGCGTGATGTCGCGGGGCCGTCGTCGTCGCCGTCGTCTCTCATGGGCGCGGCGTCGTCGTGGTGAGGGGAGCGCGGCGGCGCCGGGGCGGCAACATAGGCGGGCGGTGCGGTGGGATGGAGGCGGGATTGGGGTTGGCGCGGGCGGGCGGGGGATTTGGGGGTTTGGGGGCCAACTGGCGCGGGGCTGGGGTGGTGGTGGTGGTGGTGGCCGAGGACGGAGGCGACGGGGAGAAGGAGTGGGGGACACGCCGGTTTGGCGTCTTGCTTGCCGCTTCTGGCGGCCCGAGGCCGTGTGGCAGTGGTGGGGTGAAATGGGAAGGGATCCAGTCCCGTCTCCCGTGATCCCGTCCCGTTGATTTGGGCGAAGCGCGAAACGGAAGGAAGCAGCAGCCAGCGGCTCAGAGAGTGGATTTTTCGCGTCCCTTTGTGGCCGCAAGGGGCTATCCTGGCCATGGAACGAGGCCTGGCATCAAGATTCACCTAGGCAAAAGAAACGAGAAATAAGTCATGCCGCTCCGCCGAATCGTGGTAGGGTCTCGTCGTAACTCCACAACCGCACTCAACGGTGTGCCACCGCCGCACAATGCCGCGGCGGCTGCAGAGCTTATGCGAGGCCTTACCGTGCCTGCGGTAACCACTTTCTTTCCCCTACCCGCGCCGCCATGGGCGCCCTCACCCTAACCCCGCTCGACCGCCTTCCTTTGGCACCCGCTCCAGCGGTGTCACCGCCGTCCTCTTGTCCTCACCGCAACCCGCCTGCCTCCCCCGACCCCCTTTCTAAGCTCATCGAAAATTGAGAAGAAGAGACTCCCTACAGGCCAACTACGGGCGGCAGCGCCGTGCGAGTGCCAGGGATAGGAGAGGAAGCGACTATTTCAAAAAATAAAGTGGGACCCATGAAGCTATCAATGGCCAAGATAGCACGTGCGAGCGCATATACATGCGGCGCTGCTTTTCCCAGCTGCTTAGATGGGGAGGCCGTTGTCCGTTACCTTCCACAGCAACCAACCATTCCCGGCATCCTCCGTTGATCTGGCCAGCTAGCAGTTAGCTGGTTTAGATTCAAATTCAACCATCTATTATTGTCATTATGATAATAATTCTATACAATTTGGATTCTAATAACCTATATGTTATTCTCTCATTGGGTAGACCAATTCCATATGATGGCATATGATGGATTACAAAAGACTGCCTGCTCAATTGTGCTTGTTCAATAGTGGCTTACAGGTGTTGCTGCTTGTTTTGTACTAGTAGTGCTAAGTGTGGTTGCTGCGCTACGGAGCACACTGAATTCTGTCCTCACACGTACCTATACCCGTGCGTCAATAGTGGTTAAAAGTGGAAGACCACTATTATTATAAATAAAACCATCCATGCGTCTATGTATTTCACTGCGGGATCAAAACGACTCTTAGACAATCTTTTTTTTAATGTCACTCGTTCAACTAATAGTTAGCTAGCAAAATTAGCAATGAACAAATATATTACCTACCTATGAGTACCTATCAGGTGTTTAGGTGCAAGTGGGTCTAAAGAGACTCTTAGACGCGTCCATTTCCTCGTGGTCATTTCTCGTGGAAAATCCTTCACAGCGAACTCGGAGCCTGGTGCCTTGAAATCCTAAAACACGAAGAACTTAAACTGACACTCTATTTTAAGACAGTTCAATCCAATTATAGGAGTTATGGTCCAAAAGAAGAAGAAAAAAATAGACATCTCTATAATGGTGATTTTTTTGCTGGTTTCGGCGCGCTCGATATTCTCCAGGAAGCGAAGTACTCCAAGTTACGGCAGTGCTTCTGAGGTTGCTTTAACCAGGAAAGCCGTGTGGCGCCGTGCTGCCTTGCCTCGGCCGCCACCGCCAAGTGAGGTCGCCGTTTAACGTGCCGTCCGTCCGGTCTTGCACTGTGACAACTGACACGCCACGCGACAGCGAGCTGCGGGGGCGGGGCCAAAAAGCCATCGAACTCTCAGCAGTAGCGTGAGCGAGCGAGGTAGCCCCAGCCCCGGGACGAGAATTTTTTTTATTTTTTACACATTTTTAAATTAATTTTAAAACTAACACTGTTTATTTTTTTCTTCAAATCTAACATTTTTGACCACGTTTATTCGCACGGCACGGAGAATTAACGCTGCCGCGCCATGCATGGAGAGCGCGGCGAGGCTGCCTACGTGGCAGCGACCAGGGCCCCTGACCGGTGACGTGGCCAGCTCTGCCACGCCACCGATCGGGGCGCGGCGGTGACGCGCCACGCATCAAGGCGCGGCAGCTTGACGCGCCACCGCCCAGGGTGCGACAGAGCCTAATATAGGCCCGCGGCCCAGTTCCTTTCCTCCTCTCTGTTTTACTCCGCGCCGCAGCCGTTGCTTCTACACATGCAACCGTTTTAATGTAAATAATTGTGTCAACTATCTTTTTTCTTCATTTGTGTAAGTAGGCTACTAATATTTTGTTAGAATCTTGCTGCGTAGGACCATGAGAGGTGCTTTTTCGACGGTGCTGACAAGTTTGACTCTAGGTACCTCCTTTTCGACAATTGGTGTAGAGGGAGGCATCCACGTGAGCACTTCCAGCGGTGGGTTCCACCCCCCTAATCCTCCGCTAATGATGGCTAAGGAGAAGCACCTAGCCACAGTTAAACGACTCGAGGAATCTCCTCTGTGTGAATGCGGAGATCGAGCTGTGATAAACCCTGAAAATACGTTGGAGTTTGTGTGTCCGAACAAACACGAAGAATGAAGTACTGCGGATGATGATCCTTCATCCTGATTCAAATTTCAAATTGATATGTTAGAACAAATATTAAGAGTACGATAATACGAAGGAACATTAGTACATAAAAACAAAGTAAATGTAAAAGAAATAAACTATTATGCAAAATTAGAGAATAAACATATATTGTAATAATCATAGCTCCAAGGTTCCAATTTACTAACATAGTAATTTTAAATAGCATAGCAAACAATTAATATTAATATAATAAATTGTATGCTATATGCACCTGCTGCCTTTGTCTTCTATGCCTGCTAGCGTTGTGACCAAGTTCTTTACAGACGGAGCAAAGATTCCTGTCATGGGTCTCGTTGAAGTCTCCCCCTCCGTACATGTCTTCGCCGTACCCTCTCATAGCGTCCATGTCCCCCTTAAGTCACTTCTTCTTCCTCCTACCCTTGCCTACCTTTATTAGATCCGGATGTGGCACGTAGTCATAACCATGATAAGGTGACCACTGTGTCGGGTCAAGGTATGGCTCGAAGCTCCTCTCCCAAATACTAACGGTGTTCGAACGGAGATACAAGGGTGACATATATGGCAGATCCTTATAGTTATACCCGCGAACCATATAGGCCTTGATAATATGAGAGCAAGGGGCATGCATGATCTGAGGGACGTTGCAACTGCACTCTTCTTTTTCAAGATCAACTCGGTAGTTTCGTCCACCATAACGTTTGCCGCCCAAGCTTGTGCCACCCTTGCCCCTGTACACTAAAGATATGGCGGCGGGGTCCATACGGCTCGGTGGTGTGCTGCTTGGCCAATTCCTTGGCCTCCTTCAAATGTTCTGCTCTGGCCTTTTCAAAATGCCCCTGCTCAACTATATTCCTCTGCGTAAGTTCCCACCTCTTGACAAAATATTCATTGCACTTATGAAAGGAGAACTCAACAATTCCAGACACAGGCAACGATTGAACTCCGGTGAATACACGGTTGAATGACTCCGAGAAGTTAGTGGTCATAATGCCATACCTGAAACCCTCCTCATCAAATGCTAACGCCCACTGAGCCTTCTGTTTCATCTGCGTCTCTAACCAGGCCTTTCTCGCTTCATTTAGCATCTTGTCTAGTTCTCTCTTTGTCTCCTTGAACTGGTGCTCTGTACGTACACAACATAGAGCCTTTACCTTATCACATACCTCCTTCTTCCTCTGACGCCGCCAGAAATTAGCGGCAAAGTGTCTCATGCACCATCTGTGTACTAGAGGCGGGAACCCATCTATATGCTCAGTTGCAGCATTAAGAAGCCCTAGGTGATGGTCCGAGATCAAACATATAGTGCGGCTTGATGCTTGTTGATGGCACGTATGTTTGCCTATATGTGCAGACTGCATGTGTAAAAGATAGAGGACACAATTACTTACATTAAAACGACTGCATGTGTAGAAGCAACGGCTGCGGCGTGGAGTAAAACAGAGAGGAGGAAAGGAACTGGGCCGTGGGCCTATATTATGCTCTGCCGCGCCCCGGGCAGTGGCGCGTCAGGCTGCCGCGCCTTGATGCGTGGCGCATCACTGCCGCGCCCTGATCAGTGGCGTAGCAGAGCTGACCACGTCATCGGTTAGGGGCCCTAGTCGCTGCCACGTAGGCAGCCTCGCCGCGCCCCCATGCATGGGGCGGCAGCGTTAATTCGTCGCGTCGTGCGAATAGGCGTGGCCAAAAGTGTTAGATTAAAAAAAACAGTGTTAGTTTTAAAATTAGTTTAAAAAATATGTTAAAAATCCAGGACGAAGCCTAGGGCGCGTTGGTCGTTCCTTCCCGACGCGCCAAGAGCCGTGGCGGGCTCGGCAAGGAAAACGGCGGGGGCAGCTGGACGAGGAGGAGCTGAGCTCCCAAAGCTGGCCCTTGGCCGCCTCTGGGACTGGGATGCGCTCCCACCGTTTTCTGATTTTCTCGGTGGGCTACTAGTGATTTGTGGCGTCCCAGGTGGGACAATCACCCCGTGGACGACTGGTGAGGCCGCAAAAGATCCTCTGACCAAAATATACTAGGAGTGTTCCTCTCGTCATGGGTAGGTTCATTGAACTTGAACCTGCTGCACTGTATGTATCAAATTAATTAGGGAGTATATTTTCATAATAAATTTGTTTGGAGACATAAGTATACTGCCCATTATAAATTTGATCAAGTTTGAGCTTATTTGATTGATA